AGAGTGAGTTTCACACAGCTCGTGCCCCAGGACTTGACCCACCTGGTGCCTAGGTCAAGACCCTCCACCTCTGTGCCCCTAGGTCTCTTCCTCACCCTCACGAGGCTCGAGCCCTAGGGTGTAAGAGGTGGTGACATGTGTGGAAGGTGAGTCTCTGCCTCAAGTCTTCTCTGAGGCTGCTCTGCTGGGGAATCCCAATAGGGAGACACAAGTCTGGGTAGGGGGTGCACAGGAGGGAGGCGATTTTATAAAAAGCCCAGAAAACATGAGACCTGTCCTCAAGGGTTGGTATTCTGGTGGGCGGGTCCTGACAATACCTGAGGGTGGGAAGGTGAGGACCGCCCAGGAACACTGGAAACTGCTGGAGCAGGACTGAGGAGGGGTCACCAGCAGGATTTTCGGGACAAGATACTTCCGGAATGAGCCCTGGCATCCGTATCCAGTCCTCCCCGATCAGGAGGGCCCCTCTTGTACTGCGTGGAGCCAGATCTGACCCCGGGCGGCGTCCCCCGACCTGCCCCCGGAGCTCCAGCTGCGATGACCACGCTGCATGTCCGTTTGGCTTCTGACAGGTACAGTGACATCTGCAATGGGATGTGCGCTGGGCCGCTTCAAGAGGACGTCCTTCCAGGACACCAGAGAGCTGCTCTGTGATCTTTTGTGGACGCCTCGGTTTGTGACTTTCTTCCCTTGAGTTTGGAGACAGAGCCGCTCCTTGAAGGCGCTGGGACAAAGGGACTGGAGGATGGGGTCGGGCGGGAAGCTGATGGAAGCCTGCTCCTTGCTGTTCCGCCTGCTCCTTGCGGTTCCGCGTGCTCCAGTTCCCCGTGCGCCGGTCTCTGCCGAAGCAGAGACCCCGCCCCCTACTAGTGAATTCAAAGATCTGTGCGAGGAAAGTGGGGGAGAGCCCGCGTTTGGGGGACCCGCAGCTCAAACCCCTGTTCAAGGTGCGTTGTAACCAGACTGACTCGTTGGGCCAGAACATCACTTAAAAGAAACTTTTTTTTTTTTTGGTTGCTTACGGTGCTTTTTCTACCTTTGTCACAAGCTTTTGTTCCCCGTCGGGTTTGAAACGTTTACTTCTCCCTTTCAGGATCCAGAATCATCAGTCCTAAGGGCTTTGCAGCCCCGGGGCGCAAACGTGTGCCTCGTGTTTGCCTCTCGTGCGCGTGCGTGCTCCACTCGTGCGTTTCCCCCCCCCCCCGCGCATGCGTGCTCCCCGTGCGCGCGCTCTGTGCTCGGGCGGCGGCGTCCTGGAAGCAGGGCCCGGCCGCCATGTTGGCTGTGGTTCGCCTCGCGGTGCCGTGTTGCTCGTCAGGTTCCCTCACGGGCCGCTCTGGCCGCTGTGAAGTTGGGAGGTGGAGCCTCTGACCGTCACAGCCCGAAGCAGTGGAGCCGGAGACCGGACACCTGTGCAGTTCTGCCTCGGCGACCGGCGGCTGTTCTGCGCTGGGAGGGTCCAGGCCTCTGAGGCGCCCTCTCGCCCTGCCTGCCGCCCGCGGGCCCCACCTCCGCCCGTTTTCCGGGCAGAGAGCGGTCCAGGAGGAGTCCGCCAGCAGTTCGGGGAGGGGTCTGTCCCGGGTTCCCTGCCCGCCGGGAGCGGAAGGACCTGGGCGGCCCTCGCCTACCCTTGGTCCGCTTCTCCTGGAGGAGAGCGGGTGTCCGCAAGGCCGGAGTGCGCGTGCCCACCTCCCTGCTGACTCGAGTCCTGTGCCCGCCGCGCGTCCCCTTCCCGGCGCGGTGCGAGGGGTCCTCCAGGGAGCCGGCTCCGCCTGGCCGAGCCTCGCAGGCCGCGCACCCGCGTCCGGAGGTGGCTCCGGCGGTCGTCCGAGCACCGGGCCGGGGCGGGAGGTCCTCCGCCAGTGCCGTCCCCCTGAGTGAGCCTCGTCCCCAGGTGGCGTGTCCTTCCTTTGTGGGCGCGTGGCGTTGATGCTGGCCTTCGCGGGATTGTGGGAAAGGCTCCCCGGAGCTGCGGGTGGAGGGAGCTGGGTGGGTTCTACCCTCCGGCTCCCTGCTCTGGGTCGTTGGTTGTATTCACACCTGGAGATGGGCCCAAGAGGGTTGAAGTTATGCCGAGGAGGGGTGAATTTACTGAAATTCTCTGCCCCGTATGCCATGGAACTGGTGTTTTTAGTTTTTCTTGGCTTGAGTATGAGAATCCTGCTGCTTGTGCGGCTGTGCCGAGGATAAACCTTAGAAAGTTCAGGTTTATTGAGTGATTTATGAGGGAGCAGGAGCATACGATAAGGTCCTGAATATGGATTTCAGGAGAGTATAATGCGTTTCTGTAATGAGGGAAGTTTTTATTTTGTACTTTGTTGAGTAATTTAACTGAATTGAGTATTTTAAAGTCTCTCTTAACGAACTAGTCCTTTTGAAATCTAAAATGACACAACATTCTTTGTAATAAACAGTAATTCCTCTCTTAGTGGTAGCAAAAACAATGACTTAAGCAAAAACAATGACTTAAGCATTCAACTTTTAATTTTAAACAGAGCTTTAATCTTGCTTACAAGAATTACAAATCATCAATTTAAAAAATCTTAACCTTTGAAATAGATTGTCATGAAGTTGGATTAGCATTTTTGTTTCAGAATTAAATCCAGGTTATTTGACCTACACAGGTTTTTCCATTTTGGCTGGGAATGCATTATTGGTATAAATGAAGAATTAAGAATGATTCACAAATTCTTACTTTGGAAATGTTCTTAGGGGATTTGTTTTGTTTCTAACCTTCAGTTGATAGATAGCTAATGCCAGAGAAGTGACAAGGATATTTGGTGAAAGTGGTAACTAGTGAGCGACATTTACAAGCATTGACTCAGGATTACAGGTAGAATGAAATAACCAGTACTGCAGAAATTGTTGATTCATCATTAGGGGTACAACATTGCAGCCAAGTGTCTTCTACTTACTTTGAAATTAATTTTGAGGTTCTGAGCTCTGCTTTGAAGGATTGTACAAATTCTGTTGCTTTGGCCTTATTGCAGTAAATAGAGATTGGCAAATCATAGCTTCAAATTTGGCTTATTTTAAAAAAATGTTAGGAGCCTCCTGTTTGCCACACAGACTTCAAAGTCTTGGGGCTGCCAGGGTGATGGTGATGGTGATGTGGTTCTTGCCCGCAAGGAGCTCATGGTGAAGTAGGAGAAATGAGTTTTTACTGGTGAATGCATGAGGCAGGTAGAGAGGGCTGTATGGATGTACTAGTTATGTATGCATTTGATGTAGATTTTATGTATCCTCAATTAATTACTAAATTAAACCTGTTTATTGCTGCAAAACAAATGACCATGAACTTAATGGCTTAAACCGTCACCTGTATATCATCTCAGTGTTTACATGGATTGGGACTCTGGGAATGGCTTAGCTGGTTCTCTGCTCAAGATCTCGGAAGGCTGCAATCAAGCCGTCAGCCCAGCCGTGTTCTCTTCTGGAGGTGTGAGTGGGGGAAGAATCCACTTTTAAGCTCATGTAAATTGTTGGCAGAATTCATTTCCTGGCAGCCGTAGACTGATGTCCCTGTTTCATGGCTGGCTGTCAGCTGGGGGTTATGCTCAGCTCCTAGGGGCCCCTGCAGTTCCTCACCATGTGGCCCCTCACACGTCCTTCAGATGTGGCAGCCACATCTTCAGGGCCAGAAAAGGAGTCTCACTTTCTACTAGACTGAGATGGGGCCTTATATAACATAGCCTGGTTAGGGGAACAGCATTGCATTACTTTGTCGTGTTCTGGTGGTTAGAAGCAGGTCATGGGTTTTGCCTGTGCTCAAGAGGAGGAAATTATGCAGAAGTGTGACCCACTGGGGTCCCTGTAGAACTATGCCCACCACATACATTTGTGGTTTTCTCCCTGACTTCTTTTTCCAAGAAATCAACCCTTAAATCCTAGGAAGACTGCCGAGAGCAGTGTCAGTTGAGGAATAAACCATCATCTGAAAAGTCAGAAACGGGCTGCTTGCTTCTCCCAGGAGGGGAAAGTAATGTCTGCAGGGTCACAGTGTTGGCAGGAAGGAGTTACGTGCAAAGAGTGAACTGTTTGGCTTGTGGCTGGAGTGGACCTCCACAGGAATCTCACAGGGTCCTCTGGCTAGACACAGTCACTTTTCATCTGGTGTCTCTGCATTGGCTGATCACTCGGGTGGCATGGCGGGAACATGCTTTGGGGGATAAGTCTCCTGGAGAGAGCGCTGCAGCATGTGAGCCAGACAGACTGCTCTTGCATGGTGGCAGGCTGGGTGCTGCGGGCTATGGCGACGTCCCCAGCAGAGCTGACTGAGTTTACTTCAAATGTCTCTGTGACCTGGAATGGCGGGAAGCACATGGGATACTCACCAGATTGGGATGAAGATGCGGGAACAGATTGTGTGAATTGGACGGAGTTTGGAGGACCTTCTGCCGCATGGGTTAAGACAGCCTTGCAGACAGTCACGGGCATTGTCACCTTAGCTCGGGCTTCATTAAGCAGGGGTCAGTGATGCTCCTGCAAAATTAGACTGGAATTTTGGGAGAGGAGAAAGGTTCCGCTGGGCCTGCCTGCCTTTGCAGTTAAGGATCCGTGGATCTGTGTGGTGGTGAGATACTTTGGGTTGTTAAAGGTAATGGTCTTTTCACAGCCATACTTAGGACGCCTAGGGTTAAAAAACCCAAGTCCACTGAGGACATTATCCACTATATGTTCATGACCCCTCATTGAAGAAAAGGCCCTTGAGTTTGAAGGAACAAGCGTGTGTTCTGTGATTGGAAGCTGGGAACTTGGGGCCACTGTGGCAGCTAGAGAGCTTGTGGGGTTTATCCCCTATTCAGTTGTATCCTGTACCCAGATTTTCTGCTGTAATTATCTCTTCCTTCTTTTTATAATGTGATGCTTATTTAATTCATTTTGATGTTTTTTGCCTTTTATAATGAGTCCTCAAATATTTTCTGGAACTTGGGGAAGAGGACGATGCACTTAGAGAAACCAAGAAATGGCTCACCAGAATTCTTTATTTTTCCTTTCAGCCGTTGAAGTTCTACATTTGTAACGTCAAACTGCTGTCTCCTGATGGGACCATTTTCAAGAACTGAAATCAGTTTTCATACAGCTTAAAAGGTGAGTAAAACTTGAGACTCTCCCCTTTGGTAATGTTCCTGAAGCAGAGCTTGTCCCAGCATTGACTGTTCTGGGATGCTGTTCCTCTCAGGAAAGTGGTCCCAACTTCTGGGTATACAGACCATCTCACCAGGGTGACTTTTTCACCACCGATGGGGCAAAGTTGCACGATACCAGATTAAATGTGATTTCTTTTTTAATATGCCAGTATGTTCACAGGGGGACATGAGTGTATGTAAAATACGTGCTTCTGGATTTAGTAGCGTATCTTTAGAAATACAACCTTATTCTTTAATTTGTGTTTATTGCTGAGCCTGAGCACTTAATACCATTTATGGTCGGTGAGAAATGGGATTCTTATTTCCCATTCCAAACTTGCTGTTTTGCATGGCTTCCAGCTTCATGAAATGGGAACCATGGTGGGTCCCCATGGGAAGTAGTGAGCCCCGAGCTTCACACGGCCCCCGGCCTGTAGCGCACACCATGTACACACCAGCTCCTCTCCTGGCTGTTTGGTTTTCCTCTCTGTGTCACTAGCACACGTGGTCTGTACTGTGCAGTGGTGTTGACCTCCTGAGTTGCCGCATTGGGCTTTATGTTCGTGTTCCTGTGTTTCTTCTTGGAGGGTGGGGTGTAAGTGGCTGGGCCTTGGGGTGTCTGGAAGCAAAAGCCTGGATGACACCTCTGTGTTTCGGTTCCCTCTGGACATCCTCAGACCCAAAACTTGATTCAGAGCCAGCCCCAGTGGGGGATGGTCAGGGAAGGTGCCAGCGGGGTGCTGGGTGCTTCCTACCTGCCTCGGCTTGCCCACCACCAGCTTGTCCCCGCAGGCAGGCTGCTTCACCTCTCTCTGCCTCTGTTTTGTCAGCTGTTCAGTGATTTCAGTGATTCCCAATCTGTCTCATTGCCAGGCTGTGAAGAACACCAAGTGGAGACATAGAGGGGAATCTTCAGAAGAGTAAAAAAATCCTGTAAAACAAAGAGTTCGACTTTTCCCTAAATTTTTACCGAGCCAGTTAGGACTCTTTTATGCCAAATTCCTTACTCGAATGTAAGCTTTATAAGGGCAGGACTCTCCCTCTCTCCTTTCCACCCTCCCACTTGTTTTGTCCTCCAGGGTCTGGAGCAGTGCCTGCTGCCTAGGAGGGGTTCAGTGAGACTTGTGTCAGGTGCAGTGAGCTGAGGGAGACCCCTCCCAGAGGCTGTCACAGCTTACCCAGGCCTGCCTATTTATGGTGGTGGTTGCAGACGGACGAGGCAGCTGGAGAATCAGGAGAGACTTAACGTGCTTCCTTCCTGAGGCACACAGACCCCTGGATTTACGTGGACTTTCCACAGGTTGGAAGCTCCTGAAATTGTAGGCTTACGAGACCACCCTGAGTCCGTGCTGGGTGCGCCTCCTACGTAGTTTGTTCCTGAGTGCGGTTCATTGTCAGGTATCTGAGCGCTTGGAGCCTGTTCACCAGGCCTCTCACAGGGTGCGTGGTCAGGGTCCACAGGGTCTCCTGGGCCTTGCGCCTCTTGGATGTTCAGTGACTGACGAAAATAGTACTCATTCACGTGACCCTTCGTTACTTGGCGGGACAGCAGTGTTCGGGCACCGCTTGCGCTCCCAGTGGGGCGAGTGTGCTGAGGTGTGTGCCTTCCGTCGTCATTTGCACGCCCACCTCCAGCTCAGAGCCAGAAACAGCGCACCGGGCTCTTCCTTATTGCCGTGGATCTTACCCACTGAACCCCAGGACGTCTGTGAGGAGAATTCCCCTGGATAACTGAACACACCACCGGAGTCTGGCCCTACGGGCTATGTAGCTTGATTTATAAAATTGCAGAAGTAGAAATAATTTTTGCAAATTACATAAGTGCCCGATTTCTTCCCATGTACGGAGTTACTGCATTCCGTCTACTATTTTAAGCAGCTTTTAAAATTGGTAGTGGAAAACTTTTCCTTGACTGCATTACTGTACATGGATTTTTAGTTAAAAACAAAGCCTCTTGCTCCTTCTGAACACAAGGGTGGTTAAGAAACAGGTCCCTGTCTACAGAGCTGTGTATTGCTTTCTGCGTCGCCAGTCATTTTCACACGTGTACTTGGATTCCTAGGTGTTCGGGGAACTTTGGTAGCACTGAAGTAGGTTCTTAGAGCTGACTGTCCTGGAATTTATATTTGCTCTGTGACTCTACGACGCTGTCCTGTGAAGCTCTCAGCTGGATGGTGAGACATTCCTGCATGTGGATGGGACGGACCTGCAACTCTGTCTGCGTGGCTGGGAAGGCCCGAGCTGGTCTGGGTTTTTTGTTACCTGCAGACTGTGCCTGTCTTCCTGTACAGTGGATTTTTTGGACTTGGTTTTAAAATTGGGTTGAGTCCCCATGTGTTGGTTGGTATTAAATGTATTTTAAAACTTTGACCTCTGTGAAAAATCTGGAGACAGGTACCCCTTTGCTGTGTTGCATTTATAAGGTGTGGTTGGAATCATGGCCTTTGGCTCAAGCTCTGCTTGCCGCTTTTACTTGGGTTGTTGCTCTGGCAAGTCCTCCCTTCTCTGAGGCTTGAGTTTTCTCATCTTTACGTGGGATGATAGTTTTGTGGGATTACTGTGAAGGTGCCTCACTGAGCTTTGGATGCACAGTAGGAGCTGGGTAAAATGTCTATTATTCTCCATCTAAACGCTAGCTCTTAGCCGAGGACTGTGGCGGCAGGATCTGGGGACAACAGCAGAGGTGGGTCTCCCCGACCTCTTTCAGGACTGAGGCTTGCTGAATGGGTTTGCCAGATGTCTTGCGGGAGTCAGGTGCGGGAGGTCTGGTGCCCTTGGTTGAGCATATTGCTGCTGGGAGGGAGGAGGAGAAATCATCAATTCAAGCCTTGTGCATCATTTCCTGTGCTCTTCACAAGAGTTAAATGTGCTTGGCTCTCAGCAGAGGTGAGAAGGGTTCAGATGGGGAGAGCCCCACCTCTCTTTTGATTTTCTTCAAGGTCCTTAGGGATCTGAAGTGGATGATGAGGGCCAGGAGCCATGTGGAAGTCCTCCAGCATGAGAAGTGTGGTCCTGGTGGGGAGACACTCCAGCTCCAAGCATAACCTCAGACGCAGGTGGTGCAGCCTGATCTGGTGCCCTGTCCGTGTTCAGGTTAGACCTCTGAGGCAGATCAGCAGTGTAGGGAGAGGCACCACCTTTGAGTGTGGGTCTCTGCTGTCCACACTTGTGCAGGGGAGCGCTTATTTTCTCCAGGTGGATGAAGTGGATTAAACGTGAAGAGGTTTGTGCTGGCGGTTCCCTAACTTGAAGGAGGACTTAAACTCTGCCTACAGTTGGGTTAGGGTCACTCAGGCTGCGCCCAGATGTCCTGCTGCATGAGAAGCCGGGCAGCGGTGGGTCAGTGCCTCTCTGCCCTTCCAGGTTGTCGCAAGTGGGAGGGTTCCTGGGACAGAGGCCAGGTGGACCATTTCCAGGGTCCTCTTGGCTTGTAAGAGTTTACGGGTTCTCCAGGCCTCATTCAGCCGCTTCTGCCTCCCCTCTCTCCTCCTCTTCCCTTTCTCCTGCCCGCCCCATGTCTGTGCAGCATCAGGGTGCTCAGATCTGAGCTGCATCTCCCTGCTTTGCCTTCGTTGTTCCACTTGAAGACACTGAGGAAAACGGGAACTCAGCAAGGCTACCAGGGATGCTGTGCCCTGTCTGATGAGGACAGCCAGCAGCAGGGTGCCACTTTCAGAGGCCGGGAGAGGGGACTTGTTACTGCTCCCATTTCTGCCTGCGGTCTGGGAACTTGGGAGTTTCCTTTGCCTGTTGGATGCTGTGTTTCTATTATTAAACTATATTATTTTCTTATTTAGTAGACTTCAGAGTTGTATCAGAAAAACACCTTCACGTTTCACTGTAAACTCAGACATGCTGGCCCGTCACTTGATGCCTAGCACAACGTCAGACTGCTAAAAAGCTAGCACGTTTTCCACCTAAAAATTGTGTGGTGGAGGTAAGGGTGGGGGGCGTGGGGAGGAGTATAAAAATAAACCTTTCAGAGATTCTGGGTTGCTTGGTGGCGTGTGTATTCCCATGGTGCTGGAGGTTAGAAATAGCATTGCTTTTTATGGGATTCTCAGCAGCAGCTCAAAACCTTGACTTGGTGGGCCTGTCTCTGCGTGTGGGTGAGCCCGCGGGGTGGGGCAGTGCCTGCCTGTCTTCCCGCCCGCCTGCCCCTGGCCGGTGTCACCCGGGTGACCAGCACTCCAGTGTGAGTGTGCTCACCAAGGGCAGGCTCTTGTGAAGACGTGCCTATGGTGGCAGGTGCCAGCTGTAGCAGATGGGGCCTCAGCAGTCCCAGAGTCCCCCTGTGCCCGGGTGTGGGCAGGCACCGGGAGGCGGTGTCGTGATCTGGGAGGGCATCCTGCAGGGCTGCAGCCTGTCAGCCTGGCTGAGACCTCTCATTCTGGGAGGTGGTGAGCATCTAATTCCAGCGGGGTGGATGGGCTAGTGCTTCAAAGGAGTCCTCACGGATTCTTGGAAAGGTTAGAGTTACGTAGTTCTTACAGATGGGGGTGGGCACCCATTCAACGCAGAAAAGAGATGGAAGCAGGCAGCCACTGGGATGGAGGTTCTGCTCCTCCAGGGGACCTAATATGTGAATTCCTTGAAATCGTGCCTCTTCCTGCAGAGAAGGCCAGGCTTTGATGGCATTCTTCAGGAAGGTTTTGACCTCCAGAAAGGTTAAGAGCGTTTGTGTCAAGGCTTAGATATGAAGTTCATTTTGGAGAAATCGTTTTGGAAACGTATTGAGTATGGGGAGAGGGGATGTGGGCAGGACTGAGGAGGACTGGCAGGGGGAAGTGGGGGTCTGGTTATGAATGATGGAATGACACAGAAGGGGAGGTGTCACTGCGGTTTTTTTCCTGAGCTTTCTTCTTGATCGTTGTGTAGAACTTTGTGTTTTGTGTTGGAGATGGTTCCTCCCGGAGGCTGTGTGGCCGTGTTTGGTTAACTTCTCGGGCTTGGTGCTGCAGA